ACGGAGTGCATTCTTGTACCAGTTGCAGATCATCACTTCAGCAGGAATTGTCTTGTCGTAAACGACGCTTTTACAAGTTTGTGATAAGTCAGAACAACGGCCAGCAGCTGTTTTGAATCTAAGAACAACTTAAATAAATAGCCACCCAACGCTGATATGAAATCCACAACAGCATGAGTCTCTTTCATTCGCCTACTGAATGTGAAGCGAATCCTGTTGCCATGTATCCTACCGATTCCCTGACGGGATGTATGATTTCGAATCGAATTTCTCAAGTATCAGACTTATGATGGGACAGTCAGTTTGTCAGCCAATCTCGTGATTTAAATTCAATAATGTGAGTGCATGATCAGTCACAACATTGTATTTATCTGCTCAATCGTTTACTCGCTTGCTTTAATTGCGTAAAGAACATGTAAGTACGCTATATCCGCGGTAAGTGGATACCTTTAGCAGATGTCCTTAGTATCACTTTAAGGGGCGTGGCGATGCCGATGTCATTATCACTGGCATTTCAAAAGCTGACGCGTGTTTTAAGCTTTCGTAGAACAACCGTCCTTGTAGCGCATTGTGACGTCTCCTGTACGCAAATATCAATGAATCGTGTCGTGGTTAAATGGTCATCTAGGCAAACAGAAACAAGTGGCGGTGCAGTATGCCGTGAAATCCGGCTGTAAACATTTTCTCGCTGTGCTAACACGCCTTAGCGCATGAGCTAATATTTTTAAAAACGAATTATTATGCATTTGCGAGGGGGCAAATCCATCCGTGAGGAACATAACACGATATAAAAATGGCACTAGGCATAAAATAAGCGCTGCAGTCATTCATATTAAACGTCTCAACTTCATGCTTTACTTTTGTAAGTCAATGAAAAAGCCAGAGTATTTCGTTCGTACGTTTGAGGTCATACTGAAAGCAACATAAAGGTTATATATCACGCCAATAACATGATCAGTCGATGAGCTTTAATGTTTGCTTTGTACATAAATAAACCGTGTTCTATGCTGTTTTCGGAAGGCTTATTTTCATATTATCACAGTTGGTGCTGCTACACAAGTTTTATTTCTTTTATACTTGCAACTTCTGTTCCTAACGAATGAAACGGTTGATAGTTAATTTTGGTTAATGGTTAATTTGGTTATGGTTAGTTTTCGTTATGGTTAATTTTCGGTTAGTCGAGATGGTTAATTTTCGCTGCATTAATTTTCGAACTCCTGAGAAAGCTTCCAGAAAAGCAGAAACTTTCTGAATTGATTCAATTCGTATTTCAAGAAACAAGAAGCTTCATGCGTGTTACTTGCCAGCTATTTTCACTATTATGATGATCAGGAATTATTCGACTATTTATGTTGCATGCTGAAGTTAATCTAAATTTAAATCAAAAGCTGTTATTGGAAGTTCGATATTAGTGACAAGGTAGACTAATGGCATACGAATGCGGCAGAACATGTCATAGTAACATATCGAAATCACTAGCACTGCAAGGACGATTTGGATGCAGATTTAGTGTCAAATGGCCGTTGCAGCATTTTTCAATGGCTGAAAAGTTACTGACCACTGGTCGCCTTTATTTTTCTCACGTTCAACATTTTAACAGTCACCACTGCAAATTAATCTACCGTGCTTTATCCGATACTTGTTTTCCAAAACCAAAACTTTCAGAAAGGGAGAAGTTATGGCATATCAATTGCATCTGCACATGCCTCATACTCTAGAACAACCATTCACAGAATAACTAGTTTTTTTATTCGCTCCGATGCAGTAGTCAACATAACTTTATAAGCGCTGCTTTCTGGCGGTCGCATTTACAA